TGTCACACTTACATTTATTCTGATATAGTATTAATGATTTTACATAGTCAGCCACCAAGAGTGCAGCTTTCAGCCTGACTGGTTTAATGACTAATTTGTTGGGTGGTGATGGATTTGTTATTAATCAAGTCACTCTAAATAATAAACTGATTTTAAAACTATCTCAAATGCTTTTCAAGGACTGTAATTTTTATTGTTTAAAAAAATTTTAATGTTACTAATATTTTTGAGACAGAGTCTCACTGTATAGCACGAACTGACCTTGAACTCACCTTGCAGTCCATTCCAGGCTCTCTTCAAACTTAAGATCTTTTCTGCCACAGTCTCCTCAGTGCCGGGATTATAGGCCCAGGCCTGGCCAGGATTATAATTTTAAAATGAAAACATGTAGAAAAAGCCCGCACATTCTTTCGTATTGTTAGTAGACCAATATTTTTAAAATTCCACTTGGAAAAAAATAACAGATTTTGGTTATCTGATAGGCTTACTATATAATATAAATGATAAACTATGTGTTTTAAGAGTTACACAGGCTAAGAAAAACACTACCCTTGAAGGTTTATAGCATAGTTGGTTTTGACTTTTTTCCTCTGTTCATTTTGTAGTTTTTAGGAAAGATGTTTCATTTTCTTCCTTTCATTGATATTTTTTATCTATGAGATTTTTGAACTGATAAGATGAATTAGCAGTATTGCTCCTAATTACAAATGAGAAACTTTCTAGATTGTCCCTTCCCGTCAAACCAAAATTAAATGCTTCGTCTGCACTTTCTGATCCTTTTTTAAAACATTTCTACCACAGTACCTGTCACATTACTGTAGTCGTCTCTCCTTTTAGACAATAATCTTGCTTTATTCATCTTTACATCCCCAATCTTTGGCACATAATAAGCTATATAATAAAAGTAAAAAATTTCTTAAAAGTTAGCAACTAAGTGTGGTAAAAAGAATATTGAGAATCTGGCTGGGCAAAGTCCTGTGATACAATTGGAACGATAGTTAATACATTAAAGGTTTAGAGAAAGGAAAGTTTTAAACAAGACTTGACAGGTTAGAGAAAAAAACCAGTGAGAAAGCATTTGACTTATTTACAGGTCAATAGGTCTAGTCACTTATATTGAGAAATTCGAAGTGGTAAGTTAGGGGTAGACAGATAGTGCAGAGCTAAACTATAGAGAACTGAATACCAGCCTGAAGAGTCTGAATTTTCCTTTGTAACTGGGAAACTGATGGGTGGGTAGGTAAGTAAAAACAGCACCTCTTCATGTTGCAGAAGTTGGCCTTGAATTTAAACACCTTATGTATGCACAGTGTGGTGCAATCTTTTCATTTATTGGTTGGTCTATAGAACAGTTTTTTAGCCCTGAAAATTAGGTATAGAATTGCTTATAGGTAAACAGCGGTGCCTTCATTAGCACCTCTGTGATTCACTGTTGTTTGTGGATACCCAGGGAGTGCCTGCCTTCATCCCTGTGGTGGGTTCCCCTTGCCGGAAAACCCACTCTGTTGCATTTCCAGCACCTGCCCATCTTTCAGTTTTAGTTCAGATTACACCTGAACAGGACCACAGGGAAGTAATTTTTCAGTGACCAGATCTCACAGGTCTTTTCTTGTCATCTCTCTACATATGTGTCTCTGATTTTCCCTTTTAGACCGTAAATTAGACTGTAAAGTGCCTGACATGCTGTACATATCAGAGTTAAAGGGACTTTTCATTTTTGTAAAATTTTAAGAAAGCTTCTGTGTAAGGCTAAAGTAGGTGAAAATGTGGTTAAAGGAACAATATGGTAAAAGGATCTTAAAGATGAATTATAAAAAATAAGAATAAAGGGGAAGAGGTAAGAAGGTGTGAAATGTGGATTTTTCTTTGGGTTTCCTTTGGTGAATACCCACTTTATGTTATGATACACAGTCTGGAAGGCTCACTTGAACGTGTCAGTGATTATTGATAGTACAGTTTGAGAGACTGCTATATTTTTTGACACTAAAATTTAAATATGTCTCAGATTTCCTAGTCTATAAGTAATTGAAACCTATAGCTTGTAGCTTTTGAATTTTAGTAGCAAAATATTTACATCATTGTGAAGACGTAAAGATGTTAAACTAGGAGAAAGATGAGGGGCTAAAGCAAGAAAGATCTTTAGAGTAATTTCTACCTTTTTGAAAGTTTGGGGAGAATATTTGTATTCTGTTTACCAGACTGTTGAAACTAACAGATTCTCAGATCAGTTTTACCTTTTTTTTTTTTTTTTTTTGGTACTGGGGCGCGAACTCGGGACCTTGTGCTTTTGAGGCAGGTGCCGGAACCACTGAGCTAAATCCCCGCCCAATAAGTTTTTTTTTTTTTGGTACTGGGGATCGAACCTCGGGTCCTCGCGCTTGCGCAGCAGGCGGCAAAACCACTGAGCTAAATCCCTGGCCCCAGTCTTAGCTTTTAAATGATGAGATAGGTAGTATTTTTTTTTTTATTACATTTGACAGTTTGTGAGCATATTTTTAAAGCACAGCTTAAATTCTTCTATGGATAAAAATTAGTTTCTTGTCCTAAAGCAAGTAAATATTTACTCTCTTTGCTAGCTATGGCAATGGCCCAGTCATTTTAATTTTTTTGCACTATGTACCATAGGCTAAAGAAGTGTATATTTTATGTTATTTACATGGCTTTTAGGCAAAGCAAATACCATTTACTGGTGTGATAAATATGTAGAAAGCTTACTCTGCAGTTTTTTAACATGATAAACTACTCCCATCTGAAGTTTATCTGGCAAATCATTTTCTGTAAATAATTGGTGTGTTATTACCCACTGATTTTTTTAACACGAGGTTCAACTTCTCTTTAAAAATTAAATCATCTGTATTATTGAACTCTGCTTAATGGTATTGGATTAGAGTAAGACCTGGAAAACTTGTTTGTGCCTTGTGAAAGTAATCCATACATAGTAAGTTAAAGAGCCAGTATACCGCAGTGGTAGTTGGGACTCGGGATTTAAAGTTGCCTCTGCCACGGTGCAACCTTGGGAAGTTTTCTAACCTCTCTGAGCTTCTGTTTGCCCATCTGTGAAATGGGGATAGAATGACTCATGTTAAGTTTAATATACCAGGAAGTGTAGCATGTCTTATGTAATAAATAGTGGGCCTGCCATAAATTCATTGGAGGATCTCAGAGACAAATTAGAAAGGAAATAAAGCGGAAGGGGTAAAAAGGTGTGAAACACAGATTCATATATTTTAAGGTTGATTTAATAAAGCTAAAAGTTGGTGTAATGGATTTGAAAATTAATATAAATATCAATGCCAAATTAATGTTTCTTTTAGGAGAAATTTTATATGTTTATGTGTGAACATACATGCTTTATGAACCATCCCTATATCCCATTGTCTTTTAAGATAGAAATGCACGGCCCACTAATAGTAGTTTGAGAAGTAATTATGTTAGGATATATTTAAATACATGTAGTTTTATTAAAATATGGAACTATTATACAATCTTTTCAGTAATCCAGGAAATGTTCAGGTATCTAGAAAAGCTCTTTTCAACGGTACAAAAACATAATATTAAACAGACTTATGCTTTGTGACTTTTAAAAGCAATATACATAATTTTCCTGTGAAACTTTGTTACACTTGTGAGTATCCCAGAATTAACTATGCTAATTTGTAAATTTAAGAAAACAGAAGGTATTTCCTCCTCTGATTCTTACTTTCTTAAAATACAGGTCCATTCCTTTTCTGAATATTTCATACATCCCTACATGCATACATGCATGCAAATATGCATGTATGTATTTCCCCTAGACATTTTAATAAATCACAATAGATGGGGAGGAGATTGGTCTACCGTAGATTGATTATCCTTATACTATCACTGTAAGATTTTTGATAGTCACTGATGTTCAGAATAAGGAAATATGTTTTTCATTTTTGAGTCAAGAAAAGTTATTACTTAGGTTCATTAAATTTATTTTTACTTTAAAGCTTTTCAGTAGATAAGAAAAATGGGTTTCCCGTTTAAAAGTTTGGTTAATCTTAGCATTTTACTGTTACACTAGTTTTAATTAAAATTTTAGTGTGATGTAGGCATGTAATCCCAGCACTCAAGAGGCTGAGGCAGGAGGATCGCCATAAGTTCAAGGTTAGCCTGGGCTACATAATGAGTTCAAGGCTAGCCTGACTGCATGATGAGACCTTGTCCCCCTGCCCCCAGGCCAAAAAGGATTTTAATGGTAAAATTTTTGTTCTAATAGTTTTATATGATTTATGGAATTGAATCTATGTGAAATCCTTCCTGCTTTATAAATAATAGCTGCCACTACCATCGGTTTGAGTGCCTACACTGCCAGGGAGTGTCCTAAATGTATTGAATGTATTTAGTCAACTGATACGTCAGTTGATGTAGACACTCCATTTTCTTCCATGAGGAAACTGAATCACAGAAGTTAACTTACCTTAAGTTACATAGCTAGCATCACAGACAGGATTCCACAACTTGTGCACTTGATCTTAACTGCTGTCCAGTAGTTAATTGCTATCACTCCCAGATTTTATACTAGATATGATGTTTGAATAATATATAGACATCACATTGAGGAAATACAAATGTAATATCCCAAAGTTGACTCTAACTTGGACATTTACTGAAGTTTGTAATTAGTTGAATTTACTGAAGTTTGTAATTAGGTGATTTTACTGTATGGGAACGTATACTGTATCTCTTTAACAGATGCTTAGGCATTAACATACTAGAGTTTGTAGTCAAGATTTCAAAACCTGGGATTGGAAAATAATCTGTGTATTAATGAAGCATTTTTTACTTGTTTTTCAAGTGGTTTCTAGCAGTACTGATTGGTGTTTAGAAAATCAGTGATGATTGTGACTATAGTCATGATGAATAGATCTGGCTCAGCTGTGTTCTGGTTCATAGATGGTTTAATAATGGGTTTACTTAACATCATTAGAATGTACCTATAAGGATTAATTTTGTATTTTTTCCTCCCCTTCTAGTAAAATAAAACAGGGTCTGTTACCTAGCTTGGAAGATTTGCTGTTCTATACAATTGCAGAAGGACAAGAAAAAATACCTGTTCATAAATTTATTACAGTAAGTTTCTGTATTTTTCAAACTTTTTATAAAAAGTTAGTTATGCTAAATAGCATTGTTGAAATACAGTCTTAAAAATCATCTGACATGTAGATTCTGACACTGTTCCTCTTACTATGTTTTCAAATTTTTATCGTGCTCATTTCAAGGTAAACAGTGAAAGAAAAAGAACAATGTGAAACTTATCCAGAAAGTGGGTAATAGTGACACAAATACCACATGTTCAAGTCTTGGGTAGAAGTTTTTATATGCAGGAATGAAAACTTGTAGTTAGAATAAGCATATACATTATTTGCACTATATATTTACAAACTCTTATTTTTTTAAAAACAGGCACTCAAATCTACAGGATTGCGAACGTCTGATCCCAGGTTGAAAGAGTGTATGGATATGTTAAGATTAACTCTTCAAACAACGTCAGATGGTGTCATGCTAGACAAAGATCTTTTTAAAAAGTAAAAATTTCTGCCAAACCTTTAATGGTGATTTGCTCTGCTATACGGTGATTTCCTTTTAAAACAAAATTGTATCTTTGAAGGCCAGTGCTTCCTATATAAATGAAAAAATGGATTTAAAAGCATCATTTGAACAACAATGATGATATACTTGAATGATGATACATACTGAGTTGAGCATTCTTTAAATCTGTTGTAAGGAAATTTAGCAATGGATGTTTTAAGTTTCTCTTACCTGGAGATGGCATTCAGTTTGAATAGAGAATTTTTGAATTTTTGAAATTTTGAATTTGTTCTGTCCTTGCTTTTATTGATCTCCAATTCATCTGCATGTCTTTCAGCCCTTTTCAGATGACATCATAAAATGAGAGGGGTTCAGACAGTCCTGTATCCCTTAGATTTGCGTTTGTACATTGTCTGCCTCTCTCCATTCTTCAGACATATTAATGCATAGGCTTTGGGCTATTTTCTTTTTTGTGGGGGTACTGGGGATCGAACTCAGGACCTTGTGCTTGCGAGGCAGGCGGTGGCATCACTGAGCTAGATCCCAGGCCTATGGGCTATTTTTGTTTCTCTTTAAGCACTTAAGAACTAAAGAGAACTTTGGAGATTAAAAAGTCTTCATTTGTTTGAACAGGGAGTATTTTGACTTTCTTATATTTGCTTATCTGTGTATCATTTCTCTTCATTACTGTATTCCCATTAGCTTGACTGTTTAAAAGTATGGATGACATATTTGTAATGAGTCTTACAGAGTCAATAAGTTTTTTGTTTTTTATGGTACTGGGAAGTGAATCCAGGGTCCTCGTACTGAACTGTAACCCCAGCCCTCTTTTAATTTTGAGACAGTCTTGCTAATTTGTCCAGGCTGAACTCAAATTTGTGGTCCTCCTGCCTCAGCCTCCCAGAGTGCTGGAATTAACATGCCTAGCTCAAATAGTAAACTACTAATAGTTAAATGGAAACTAGAATAAGGCTATAAACACCACCAGACGAGATTGGCTTTTTCTAAACAGTAGGCTCTGGTTGAGGTAGATAAAGAGAATTTCTGCATCTGCTTGGAAAGTTTGTTCATATGTGTGTGATTTACCTTTACAGCATATTCTTTTGGAGGTTGCTTTGTTCTGGATACCTCCTGGGAGTGCCTTGGGAGTATTAGGGATAAGTATTTAACGGAGGTTCTCTGAAATGTCCTGGCATGCTCTGAGGCACTGCTGGCTTTTTAAAATTTTTGTCTTTTCACCAGGAAGTTCTTGGTTCTGTTAACTCGGCTGACCTTAATGTTCAGACATTAGGTCCACTTTGCAATTGGTATTAAAAATTTTGAGTCTACAGAAACTTTCTTTGTGGAGTGCAGGAGCTTATTTCCAGACTTACTTGTGCCTTTTTAACCACTGTTACTTAGTTTTTATTGTGCATGAGCTGTCTGCACAGTCTCAGCTCATGGTGCTCCTGGAAGTCACTGGCTCCCAGAGCACAGTAGTGAGGTGGTAGGTAGGTCTGCGGGTAACAGGTGTGGGGAGCTGCATTGGCGTTCTAGGCGGAAGAGCATTTTACACTTGGCTTACAGTTCAAAATGCTTTTTGTGCCGTATAAACGTGCTGTTATGTTTAAATGTGAAATTTGAAGCATTTTATTCTGATTTTTTTTTGGTTCCCAGGGATCGAACTCAGGACCTTGCGCTTTCGAGGCAGGCAGCTGAACCACTGAGCTAACTCCCTGGCCCTTTTACTCTGATTTTTAAGCCAGGGAATCACAGTTGTAAAATTTTCTATCTGTAAATAATGAGATAATTACCATAATTTTAAACACTAATCCAATTTTTAAAAATCTGTGATTGTAATCTAGGCAGTTTCCCAACTTGACAAATGCTTAGTCGTCACATGAGCAGACTATAGACAGTAAGATTTTCCTTTTCATCCCTAGAATGAGGGAACTCAAAATCTTTTGACTGTTAAAGTCACCTGAAAGAGGATTACTGCAGAGAAATTCATTCTTTCTGTTTTTAAATGTAAGAAATTGTCCAGTTAGTATTGCCAGGAAATTCTCATCTCCATGCAGCTGGGGAGGATATGATAAAACCTGGAATTCATTTTCCCTGAGAAATAATTCATGAAGTGGATAGGTTTGATTGAAATCAGTGTTGGTATTTTACATAAAATGCATTGCTAATGTATTTGGCCTTTGTAAGTAACCTGACAAACAGCTATTATGTATGATTTTTTTCCCCCACAATGGGAAAATGAGTTCTAACATACTTTTTGGAGAATGATCTATTTGAAAGTTGGAGACTGCCTCTACCCATCTGTGTAGTCAGTTGTTTTTAGTGCTAATAATTCTTAAAACTAATAGAAATACTTATGTTAAAAATTAATCCTTTATTCATGCATTTTTAAGTCTTAGGTATTAGAAATATTTTTATGTGTGATCATAGTTTCTTGTTCTTTTTTGGTGTTGGAGAAAGTTGAATGGTCTTTTACATTTGTATATTTGGTTTTCTTAAAATATTCTTACCTATTATGTTATTTTACTAATGAAAATTATGTATATGAAATATTTTGTTGAACATTACAGTTGTTAGACATAAACATTTAAGTAAAGAAGGAAAGAAATGATTATTACCAGTTTACAGATAAGAAAAACTGAACAAAGCACAGAAAAAGATATTACTCGCCAAAAGGTGTAAGCACTTCCTCAGAGTTCATTTTATGTAACTTCTAGTTTTTTCAGTTAGACTAATAATTATGTTAATGCTCAAGAAGAACTTTAGTATTTGGAAAGCCCATCAGTATGGAGTTAAACAATCTTTTGAGTGATAAAAGTGACTTCGTCCATCATGGTAATTAGTAGTGAAAGGTATTGCCATGGCTTTGCCAGGTGCTCCTGCTAGAGAAAAAACAAGCAAAAACTCCAGAGGTTTTCTGAATGTAAAATTACAAGTCTTGATTGGTTTAAAATAATAGGTTAAGGGCTGGGGATTTAGCTCAGTGGTTCTGGCGCCTGCCTCGAAATCACAAGGTCCCGAGTTCGATCCCTGGTACCAAAAAAATAATAATAATAGGTTAATAATTTAAATTTGTGTAGTACATCTCATTTTCTTAGTTATAACTTCTGGAAAATGAAGTATATTTGAACTGATGTAGAGATAAGTAGTAATTTATGCTGGGCAATTACTCTGTTCCTCTGAGAAAGGTGTTTTTTGGTATATATGTAACTTGCAGTTTTAGTATTTTCAAGTTAAATTTTAGAAGCTATTTGAAGCATTTTATTTATTTATTTATGGTACTTGCGAGGCAGGCGGCAGAACCACTGAGATAAATCCCCGCCCCTTAAATATTAAATATTAAAGCAATGGTAATATATTTTAGAGTAAGATTGAAATGATCAGAAAACCGTCAAAGTTTATTGAAGTAAATTTTATTGACCATAATTTCTTAGGTTTGTGATGTCAACTAGTACTACTTCTATAATAATAGTGAAATTTCAACTATAATTATGTTGTAATAGTGGATCCTTATTACTGATAACAATAACTATATTAGGATTTTATTTTAAACTTATGTTAATTTTATGTTGACCAAATGAATATACATTCTGAATTTTTATTACTTTAAAAAATTTAATATTTTAAATGTATTATTTAATTTTAATTTGATGTTTATCTAGAACAACTTGAATTAAAATATTGAGGTTTACATTTTAAAAAACTTTACCACCAACTTACAAAGAAATATTGAAAGTGTTACTTCATTTTTCCATTTGAGTAGTGCATTATTTAACTTCTTAGAATCTCATTTCTTATCTATGAAGTGGGGAAATTCTTCCCAAAATTTTGATATTTTAAGGATCAAACAAGATAAGTAGCACTTGTTAAGTTATAATTTTTTTATGCCACCACGCCTGGCACGACTTTAGTATTTCAACTGTCAATGTTTGAACTTTTTAATTTATTAGGGTTTACCTTTAAGATTTATTATAGTGGGTATTGTGGCTTGATGTCCATGAGTCTCTGTCAGTTAAATAAATATTCCATTGCTGAGTTGTTTTTTTTTTTTTGGTACCAGGGATTGAACTCGGGTCCTTGCGCTTGTGAGGCAGGCGCTGGAACCACTGAGCTAAATCCCCGGCCCTCCATTGCTGAGTTTTTGAGAGTCAGAAGATTTCTGTCATAAAGTATAAAGTTGCCGGTAATCTACTACAAAACTCTTCTTTAAGATTACATTAACACACTGATTTCCTATTCTGACTTTAGAACAAAGCAGAAAATTGGTTCATATCACTAAATCTTATGCCCTCCCATCTACATCGTTTACCATGTCTTTAAAATAGCTTTAACTGTAATATTTTTACTGTATAATACATGTATCAAGATGAATAATCTAATTTAGTATTTTTAGTGATTTAAGATACTGTAGTATAAAGTTATTCTACTGTGTATGAATTTTTTTTAAATTAATACATTATTTTTGCAAGTATTTCAACAAATATTTCATGTAAGAAAATTCATTCATTATTTGGACTAAACTATATTGGTGTGATCCTCAGTTTTTAAACTTAGAAATACAAAATTTTAATATCCAATTCAGGAAAAATATGTCAAAATGCAACATGTTCAATTGTTTTTAAAAATACCAGCACTAGTTATATGGGAGCTAAGAGGTATATCTCTGAAGTTACTTAACTTGGGAAATACACAGTTGTCATCTAGGATATTTTAAAGTTGATTTTTGTCATCCTGAGTGTTTATCAGTTTTGGTAGAACAAGGAACTTGTTTTGATGGTCTGAATACTTAGACCTGGTGGAATGCTCTATCATTTTAATCTCTGATACAGTTTTTGAGTATATCTAATTAATTTCTAACCTGTTCAGCTTACAAGCAACTGCAGGAAAGACTGCTGGAAGGAAAAAAAATAATGTAGAAAGAGTATAACTTATAATTTAGTTGTATAAAATGATGAGTTTGTTTTTTATTTAAATATGGGGTAATATTCTCCGACCTAGTGCTGTTACTACCAGGTACCAAGAGTTGAAAGGTACCCAGTCTATTAATTCTTCTCTCACATTGCACAGATGTGTTCAGAGCAACATTGTTTTGCTGACACAAGCCTTTAGAAGAAAGTTTGTCATTCCTGACTTTATGGCCTTTACCTCACACATCGATGAGTTGTTTGAAAGTGCAAAAAAGCAGTCTGGAGGAAAGGTAACATTTCTGATGTGCATATTTTCCTAACCCAATCACTTAATCACTTACCAGTCCAATTACTTAAATTCAAGATGACTAAAAATTGCATATTTTTTCATTAATTTTTATAAGATAAAATAGCAGGAAATATAAAAATGTCAATTTTATCAAATTTATTCAATACAAGAATCAACTGGTGGAAACAACCCCGGCTGGGGCAATGCTCAGATAAATAAATGTGTTGCCCGAGTGACACTTCGCGTGAACTGTTAAGTGGTTAATGAATTCAGCTCCATTTGAGGTACACTGAGTAAAATCGTGTGGTTTTAATTTGGCTAACTAAAAAGTGTAAATGAATTATCTGGATTTAGTGGTTTTTAAAATGTTTTAAATATTTAACTTTGATATTCTGACTAAAAAACCTAAATTTAAGAGTTTTTTAAATTTTCAAATTACTGAGATGGCTTTTAACCTTTTATTTTAAAAAAAGGCCTTAGTGGAAATTTCTGCATATCTGATATCCTTGAACATAAAATAAACTGTTTATAGTTTTTTTAAACCCTCTAGGGGATAGCGGTGTAGTTGGTAACAGAGTTACTTGCCTATGATGAACAAGGCCTGGGGGTGGACCCTCAGGATACTTCCCCAAATCCTCTAAATAATGGCAGGGCTGTTCTATTTAATTTTCATAGTGAACCCTTATTTAATCTCCACTTGGAAAGCCCTGGCTTTCTTTTGTTTTAGCTTTGGGTAGCTTTATGGTGATAAAACCTCTTGATCATTTTAGTGTATTATACACATTAGTTATTTTCAGATATTTGATTCCTAATTTTTTTAGATGGTGAAACTGCCAGCACCCATGGCCTTGATTAAGGAAGTTCTATACTTTTTTCTTTAGGAAAAATCAAGTCCACATTCCTCTCTTAGATTCTACGCTTTTTAAAGAAGAAAACAAATACATTGGGAAACAAATAATAGTGGGTAGAAGAAGTCACTTAATCTCACCCTAATCTTGAAGTCTTTTGTGCCATTAGTTCCACAGGTCTTGTTATAAAGGGTAGACTGCAAGGTTCTTGAGTGTTGTAAGATAACTAGTCATTGATAGAAGCTAAGCTGAAGTAAAGACTTTTTTGGTAGAAAATAATGTTACTTGTCTATATTGTGACTATTAATTTCTTTCCAATATCTTGGATAGGTTGCAGATTATATCCCTCAACTGGCCAAGTTCAGTCCTGATTTATGGGGTGTGTCTGTTTGTACAGTAGATGGACAGAGGTGAGTTTATTTCAAATCCTTGTCAGTCAACTTTAGGCCTTATATTTTGCATAATAGTGAGTGTGAAATAAAGAAAACTATCTTCTATAATAGAAATTACTCCTAACATAATGTAATTTCAAGAAGGTTAAATAAGTTTAGATTTTAACTTAATTTAAAAACTTGAAACTAATTTTATGGGGTGTTTTTTTTTAGGTACTTCATGTTCCTTATTTTCATTTATAGTCTTGTTATTTGTATTTTATTATTCAAGTATGAGTGGTTACATATTTAAGAAAAGCAGTCTTGTCAAAACATGACATTATTCTCTATAATGGACTGATCACTAATAAAATTAGTCCCTGTTTCTCAGTTTATCATTGGTCACTGCCCTGTCATCTTTATTCCTCAAGTTCCAGATGAGCATAAGAGTCAAGATCATCCAGTATAACATATCCATCCATCAGTCATTTGCAGAGTGAAAAGTCAGTGGCAGAACATACAGAATTCTACAAAGTCCACGAAAGCCCTGTTTACAAAATGAGGATATCGTAGGCACACCTGACATATAGGGAACTGCAGAATTATAAGAGGGATAGTGATATAATGGGGACAATCTAAAGACTGATTTAATTTCATAATCAAATTCATAGAGGCTTTTGGAAAAATGGTAATGTTCTAGAGTATTTTCTCAAGAACAATCCTTTTTATTGTACTAAAAGTCAGACATAAAGAGTTATGTTGTAATGTTGTAAGTGGGTTTTGTCAGAAAAATTATGCGATAAGAGGCAAATTCATATTTTTTCTATTTTTATATTTTTTTCATTAAAATGATTCTTTTAAACTTACATAAAAAGATGTACAATTTAAGTTTTAAAAAGTTAAACAAGTTGGGCCAGGGATTTAGCTTAGTGGTTTTGCTGCCTGCTGCCCAAGTGCAAGGACCCGTGTTCAATCCCTGGTAACAAAAAAAAATAAAATGACTTTATTAATCAAAAAATCTGCATACCACACATAAATTTGTGAACTTCAGATGTAAAATGTAATAGACCCTGGCACATTGACAGAGTTGAATACAGCTTTTAAGTATATGTAAAGGTTGATGAATTTATATCAGGGATGTAATTTTACACTGTTTTGTTAAGACTTCAACTCATGTAACCTTATTTTAGGGTTTTATTTTTCAAGACTGTTCCAATTGAAGCCTTTTCCCCCTACTTAAACTTTGATCTCTTCAGTGCTTTTTACTTTTCAATAATTACCTTCAAGTACTTAAAGTAAAAAGCACATCAGCCCATTTATTTTGAAGATAAGGAATCTGAGGCCCATGGTTAATGTGATAATGGGAAAAGAAAAACAAGAACATAGGTCCTGTAACTTACTAGTCCTCTTCTTTCCATCATTACATCATTGTCTTACTCTCATTTGGACTCATAAAACATGACACTCACTGTGTATTGCATTAAATGTTGAGTGCTTGAAAGGACACAAATGAGATGACATAGCTTTGACCCATGGAGCAAATTCCAGTAGGAAGTTTTCTTTTTTTTGCTGTACGGGAGATCGAACTCTGGACCTTGCCCTTGCCAGGCTGGCACGGCACCACTGAGATAAATCCCTAGCCCTCCAGTAGGAAGTTTTCTACTTTTGCATATTGAGGAAATAGTTTGTCATACAATAAAAAAAGCTTTAACTGAGAAGAAGAAACTATCATGTAATCCTGCGTGATTCTTCTCTTAAAAATTCTGTCTTCTAGTGTTCTTTTATGTAAAATTCTAAAAGTTGACTTTGGAACTAGAACACAGATTTTTTTTTTTTGGTACTGGGGATCGAACTTGGGTCCTTGCACTTGCGATTCAGGCTGCAGAACCACTGAGCTAAATCTCCAGCCCCTAAAATGGACCTGGCTGCATTTTTTTTTTTTGGTACTGGGGATTGAACTCGGGTCCTTGCATTTGCGCAGCAGGCAGCAAAACCACTGAGCTAAATCCCCGGCCCATGAACACAGGTGTTTTTAAATCCAAAGACAGTAAAATAGATTTCTTATTCTTTTTTTTTTTTAAAGAATAATTGTCAAGTTTACCAGTCTGAATTAGAAATTATGCATAAATTTGATAGGAAAAATATTATATACCTCTTATGTACACATATATATTTTTATTCTGTCATATACTTAGAGGCGAGGTGGTCAGATGCTCCTGTTTGATGTATGACGTTTTGGTTCACCTCCACCTGGCATAGTTACTACTGGTGCCCAGTTTCACAATGCATAAGTGTCACTGAATGGTGTACCTGTGGTGTGTCCGGGTGTTGTTCAGGCACTCAGTGATCACCAGTGAGCTGACAGGAAGATCTCTGCCCTCGTGAAGCTTATGATGGGGTTAGCCAGAACATGAGCATTCCCAAGTCTACTTTTTCGTGTATGTCTCAGTCTGGTAATATATACACCTTTCTTTTCATTCTTTTGTTTATCTGTATGGTTAGTAATGACTGCCTCTTGTAGTGTTAGCCATGTATAGTTTATAAAACTTCTACTGGAGCTGGAATTAAGAGGTGGTTCACAGATGAGACCTTCATAGACCGAGTGTCAGAGAATAGTACTGAACTCTTAGACTGACCTGGTGTGGCTATGGCTTAAGGCTATGAGGACAAAAAGGGTGAGTAATTTCTAAAAAGGGCTCGTTTATATGATCAAATGCAGGTAGTAAGGGGGGAAGTACTATCTTTCCCTCAAAGAAAACTGCACGATTTGTCTAATGTAGAACTATTCTGTTACCTGAGTACTTTTAAGCTTTTAATTTTTAAAAAATAATATCCCAAGGGCCAGGGATTTAGCTCAGTGGTTCCACCACCTGCCTTGAAAGCGCAAGGTCCCGAGTTTGATCCCCGGTACCAAAAAAAAAAAGAAATAATAATAATAATAATATTCCTCTTAAACATTTATTCTTTAACACTGAAATGAATTTTTGTAATTGAATTATGGGAAAGATTTTGTAAATTGAAATTAACGTAAAAATAAAAATTATAATTATGTAGTTACTTTTGTTTTGATTGACGTTAATTATTTTGTAAATTAATAGGCATTCTATTGGAGATACCAAAGTTCCCTTTTGTCTGCAGTCCTGTGTAAAACCTTTGAAATACGCAATTGCTGTCAATGATCTTGGAACTGAATATGTGCATCGCTATGTTGGAAAAGAGCCAAGTGGATTAAGATTCAACAAACTATTTTTAAATGAAGATGGTAAGAATTACCTAACAATTGATTAGAAAAAATACATTTTTCTGTGTATATCTAGTTTTAAAGGTGTTTTGTTTTATTTTGTTTTTGAGGTAAAGTCTCGCCATGTTGTTCAGGCTGGCCTCGAACTCACTATGTAGCCCAGGCTGGCCCCGAACACAGCTGCGATCCTTGTGGTTTAGCCGCCTGAGTACTGGGATTACAGGTGTGCACCACCATGCCTGGCTAAGAAGTTATGGGGAAGCAAATTAAAAGTGTGCTGCTTTTTAAAAATTTTTGTGGGATTTCTGCAAAATCCATTGAGACAGTTTAATCACTTTCCTTTAAAAATGATTATTTTTCCAATAAAATTAATTTTTAAAAAATGATTATTTTAGGCATCTTCTACCACTAGGGAATTGGGTAGGGAGAGAAGAGGGGGGCAAGGAGTGAGAAGTCACTTTATAACCACCAGTAAGGAAATAGCTTGTAAATTTCAGACGGTCTGGAATTTACTTAGAAATGACGCAGGGAGGCAGGTGGGAGAGTTGGGTGTGATGATTAGCATGTTGGTGATTATTGCTGCTAGACCATTCTTTGCCAAAGGTGAAGAAACAAGCACTTACATTTCTTCTAGTCCATTGTCTTCGCATTGGCTCTTATCCTATGTGGGCACATAAAATGTATGCAGATGTGTCGAATTAAATACTGGGAACTGTGAAGGGGCACAAAGAAATGAGATGACATGTTTTTATCATAATGAACAAATTCCACTAGGGAGTGATATTTCTACTTTAACATATTTATATATTACTTGAGTGTTCCTGTGCTACCACTGGGGAACAGGTCTGTACCAGACTGGACATATAAATTAGTGGGCACACGGTGTATTCATACACTGTCATTTCTACTTTTCTATATGGTATGTATTTAAAAACTTTACTAAGAAAAAGCTTGAATGGTGGTTAAAACATTGAGATATAGTACTTGTGGTGTTTTTACTGTTTTTCCTCTTTCTCCTAGGTATTTAGTATTTCAAAGAACTGTCATGCATTATAGCTGAGCAGCTCCCCACTTTTATTACTTTGCAGGAATTTAAAAGGAAAAGGAAGGAAAGTTAGTAGCTTGACCTGATAGAAAGATTTTGTGTAACATAGCTGATACAAACTAGATTAAACTTTATTCCTGTGGGGTGGTTTCTATTTTTTCATCTTTCAAGCATATTTAAAGTTTCTGATTGTTCAGTTAACATAAAGAATTGATAAGTGAAATAAATAGGACGCACGTGTAAATGCCGAATAGTTTCTCTAATGTGAGAGACTGAAAGTATAATTAAGGATTAAAATGATTAAAATGAATAATCGATAATCTGAAATAGGAAAAGGTCCAAAGGGGTAGGGGAAGTGGGAGGGGAAGGGGAAAGGGAAGAAGAGAAAGGAAAAATTATGAGAAAAGAAAAAAAAAAGGAAACAAAGTCTGTGTAAATAGGGAAGGGCGCACAGGTAATGGGGAAAAAATAAGAACCAAGATGCATCATGTACAGGTACAAGCATCCGATGATAAATGTAAATGTATTGCATACCTAAAATGTACCAGTAAAAGGATTTAAGGAAAAAAAAAAAGAATTGAAGTGGGGGAGAAAGGGAGGGATAAAGGATCAATAAAAGAAATTGAGACATGTTATGTACTTGTACCGACTCCCCACAAGGAATGTAAATTTTTTTCCCCCTTGGTACTGGGGATCAAACTCAGGACTTTGGGCTTGGAAAGCAGGAGAGGTGCTGCTGAACTACATCCTTGGCCTCGAGGAATATAAATGTTACATATTGCAAACATGTACCAAAAAGGGGAAGAAGCGGGTCAAGAGATGGGTGGACAGGGAAGGGGAAGGGATAAAAAGGGATTAAGACGAGTTGCATGGACATACCAGCTTCCCCCAAGGAACGTCAACACCATGTACTACACACATGTACTAATAAACTACAATTTTTCAAAATTTTAAAAATTGAAGAAAATAAGAGTGAAGATTCCAGTAATGGTTGTGTGAAATACGCATTTGTGTCTTACTGCTGGATGAAAAAAATCTCTTACTGTTTTATTAGTTTTTTAAATGAAATTATGACTTTTTTAGAGCTATTACACTTTCTCACCTATTTTCTATAATCTTTTTGTTCTGATTTTATGGAGATTTCCTTAAATTACCAATTTCAGTAAGGATATCTTATGCAGATGCACCTCATTAAGCTCACTAACATCCAGATTTAGTATAGAAAGAATTAATGCTGCTTTGCTATGAAAGGCTGATTCTGGTGAATTGGTTTTGAAGAAGATATTTAAAGAATAGAAAATAACAAATGTTGGAATTTGAATGTTAATTCACAAAACGAAAGGAGCTTGGGGTAAATGAACTTAATATTATACCAATAGTTTGCCATGTACATGTCTGGTTTTAGAAATTATGATTTATTGATGCTGTCATTTGTAGAAGAAAAATATGGCTTAAAAACTCCAGAATTTAGCACTGTTTTATATGAAGAACTGAAATATAAAGTTTAACAAGAGCTTTTGCCCTAGTATTCGTAGCTTTTTCTGAGCTTGAGACACTGTGCATCCTGAAGCTACTGGAACAATGAAGACCTCACTCCTTCCTGGGTTCTGAACCTCCTGTGCTTTTGAGTCTTGGTTTAGACCCACCCCAGCAAAACAATGTGAAGATCATTTTTATGTTTAAAATTTCAAGGGTAGATTTTTGATGAAACTATATTCAGTGTAGATGCATCTATGTCATTACAAAATTTTTAAGAAATATATTAATATTACCCTACCTTTATAAGGTTGTGATGATAAATTAAGATTAACATGAGTATAATAAATAAATACAGAAATTATGGTACTCTCAGTAATCGCAGTTTGGTCCTATGATGGACTTGACTGATACTTTCTCATAAATGAGTAAATTATTTTATGGAGATGTCAGTTTTGGAAACCATCTCCTAGGAAAATCTTTTTCTACCTTATGGTGATTAGATTAATCAGTAGTATAACCTTTGATGTCTGTTAACAACTCTGGAGGGTAGGGAGCAATGGTTCCCAAGAGTATCTTAGCTAATACAAGAAGAAACAGAAAACGGTACCTCTAAAACATGATAGAGAAGACGGAGTTAAGCATTGTATACACTTACTTACATTGTCTTACAAGCATGTGATTGACAAGGGACCACAGAGTATGTGTTGGCTGTAAGTTGTAGATGGTTTAGGAGGAGGAGTGGGGTTAATTCATATGAGGAAGACAGGACTGACTTGTTTGGAAAGGATAAAATTCGATTTGTAGAACATATTAAAAACAGGTTAATGTGAGGTAATTGAATGTGAGCCTTTAAATTGCTTCGCAGCAATTTAAAAGTGTATAATACCCTATTAACTAACTTAGTACTTATATCACCTGGTCGGTGCCTTGACCTTACTCCTCTTGTCCAGCTGACATTTCATATCCTTTGACCAACACCCCCCAACACACATACAGCCCTGGTAACCTCATTCTCCTCTGCTTCTGTGAGTTCAGCTTTTTATATTTCAAGAGTGAGGTTATGTGATATTTTTCTTTATGTGCCTGGCTTATTTCACATAGCATAATATCCTCCTAGTTTGTCCACATTATAAATAACATTTCCTTATTTTTTAAAGCTGAATAGTATTACATTGTGTTTAATGACACTTTTTTATTCATTCACCCATTGATAGACACTTAGGTTGATTTCCTCAGCTGTTGTGAATAATGGCTGTAACAAATATGGGAATACAGATACCTCCTCGATACTGTATAATTTCATTTCCTTTGGATATATACCCAGAAGTGGGAATATTGGATCCAAAATGCACAATTTTAAAGCATAACCTCCAAATCACATTGTTGATCTTCCATTAAAGGAAACTGGTAGACTGTAGTTTACCCAGCTAATTTTTTTTTTTAATCTCCTGATTATTCTTTTAATTAAAAAAATTTTAGCAGCTTTAATGAGACACAATTCCTGTACCATATAACTTACCCACTTAAAGTGTACAATTCAGTGGCTTTTACTGTATTCAGAGATAGGCAGCCATTACTGTGTTCAGTTCCAGAATACCTTCATCACCCTCACAGAGAAATGCTGTGCCCATTTAGCAGTTATTCCTCATTCCTCTTTACCCCTGGAAACTACTAATACACTTTCTATCTCTAGATTTGTCTGTTGCTGGGAAATTTCATATACCTGGAATAATAATTAATATATATATATATATATATGGCCTTTCTTACTGCTTTTAGTTTAATGTTTTAAAGATTTGTCCATGTAGTGCTATTTTTATAATATCTGTATCTGATACCATCACTTACCTACTTTTCAGCTGCTGGGATGGTTGAGTTGTTTTCACCTTTGAGCTTTTGTTAGTAATGGTGCTGTGAACATTTGTATGCAAGTTGTTGTATGAACTTATGTTTTTCTTTCTTTTGATTATATACCTATGAGTGAAATTGCTGGATTATATGTAACTCTGTTTAACGTTTTGAGGAACTGCCCCTATTTTCTAGAGCTCAAGGTTGGTTAGCTAGAAGCTTGTCTCAGTATATGATAGAGGTAGAATTTTTGATGAGTTTAAATTGTAGGTAAATTTTTAAATTATAAGAAATATGTCCTTATTGTAAGAGATATAGGAAGCAAAGAGAATATAGGCATATCACTGGTCGCTGTTTGTTTTGTTCTATGTTTATACATAAACACAAAAATTTTTAAAAAGCAAAAATAGGATCACATTGGATACGGAGTTTCTAATGTTATTTTTAAGATAGTAGTATTACCTGAATACTTAAGTAGGCATCAGACACTTCTAAGCGTTTCATGTGTTTTAATTCAGTCATTACAACTCTTACGGCATTTACAGATGGGGAGATAGAATGAAGTTACTCGCTCTGGGTCACATAGCTACCATAGAAAATGGCAAAGCTAGGAAATTTGGATGTTTTTACATTACTGTTCACTACACTGTAATACTGGTTTGGTAAGTAGTTTAAACAAAACTTAAAAACTACCATGATAATGGCTTAAATTTTTTAAGTTCATGTTTATGAGAAATATTTATGCATCAAAGAAAATGGCACCAAGTATTGGAAGTAATTCTGCTGCTTTTGTATTTTACAGATAAACCACACAACCCTATGGTAAATGCTGGAGCCATTGTTGTCACTTCATTAATAAAGGTAAAATCCTGGCATTCCCTTTTAACCTAGTAAAGTTTTTGTAATAATACCAAAGGCAGAAAAATGAATCTTTGCTTGTTTATGTAGGACTATGAAAAGCTTTCTCTGGATGTTAAACTAATTTTGAGGTATAGGTTTAGGATTTTTATGTATTCCAACATAAAATATCATAATTTCAAGGCCACATTTAAAAACAGATGGCTCACGTCACCGTATATCCCAACAATAAATCTCAGCCTCTTTCTTGACTTGGCAAAGATATAAAAAGTCTGCTGAACAATAGGAGAGGAGATTTTTGTTCTTAGTTTTGATATTTTTTCTTTCTTCCTTTTAGCTTTTGTGGAATGAGCAGATGTTAACAGAGTTAAGAGCATTTTACTGTATATTGTTTGTTATTAACATTATATATGAACAATTGTTCTAGTAGTTTGTGTTTAAGACAAAGTACATTTACTGTTGCCTATTCTCGTCTTTTATACTTTCATGAGCTAGAATCACAATTTTATTTTGAACTTGTTTCATATGCTTTACTTAAATCATGCCATAATTACAATAAGTGAGGCTTATTCCAATTATTAAGTTATATTTCTCATGTTTTGATGTTTACATTGTATGGTTTTTTTTTAATGTTTGGTTTACCTTAATAATTGGCAGCTTTGTTGCTATTGTAAGTGTTTGAAAATGGTTCTGTTGTGATAAATTTTAATATCTATCACAATTTCAGATTTTCTAATTTTTAATTATATTTTAAATTCCTAATTATGTTTTGTTTATATTAAATTTCATTTGTGTTTAGAACATTTATATACTTTCCTTCAGTGAATTTGTGCCTGTCTATTCCAAGTTAGACTGAAACATAATTCAGGGCATTGAAAGTGCATTACTGTGGATTTTCAGTACTGGTTACACAAAAAATATTTACAAATAAATGACCCTCTTGACCCAATTCACAAAAATTAATCTAGTTTGAATACTAGAAATCCTGCCTTAATTTTCACAAGTTTTATACCTTTATAAGAAAAAACTTAAAATGAAAACTACTATCTTAAGAATATGTATGTTTATTTGTTGAGGCAAATAATTGTAAGCAGTGGCCCACATTCTTATAACTGTAATGAAGTAGATATTGTAGACAGATATTTTAAGATACAACTAATTTTAATAAGCAGTAGAAATTTTCACTTTCTCCATTATAACGTCTAATTATTCATGGCTGTTTTACAAAAGAGAAGCTACTCTGAGGTGAGAGAAACTTACAGGCAATGGCAATGCACTTATGTACAGATAACAGTTCTGCCTTTAGGTAATTACTGTGTAGCATGGCATGCTCAAAGTAGATGTGCCCTTATCATTGAATTCATGATGTGCTGAAAGTCTCAATAGTTCTGATACGAATAAGTAACACATTAGGAAAATTACTACACAATGTGTTCATGCTTGCTTTTAAAAATACTAGAATGATTTTGAACCATTTTTGGGTCTTCCCGGAAATATCCACAGACCATGATTTAACGTTAATTTTAGGGGGTTCATAGGCCATTTGAAGATGATCTATGGGTCCCAGTTTAAGAACTCTTAGGCTGGAAAGATTAACATTGATAGACCGGTAGAGTTTTCAGGAAAAGGCATATGTGAATGGTTAGGAGACTTCCTTAACTTCATATAGTTAGAAATCATTTTGTCTAATGATTCATGGGTTTAATCAACTACATTGAAATGCTGCATGTGAGTATTGCATGTCTGGTCATCACAGCATCATTTCATGAGTTTCATTTACCATCTTTGGTCATAATGCCTAAACTACAGTTTAGGAGCATTAATAGGAGCAATTAGAAACAGAATTTTAAAGCATGTACAATATAAGTGTGGTTCAGTGCCCAATGGTGCAAAAATTTTACTGAGTCATCTTGTATAGACAGATTTGATCTGTGGTTTTGAACTTATAAAAATTTTATATTTACTAGCAAAGTTGGAAATGAGACTTTGGGATGTGATTCGTATTTAAATTCACTTTCTTTGAACTTTTGTTTCTAGGATTGTTTTACAAGTGCTTTTTTTTTTTTTTTAACTTAATTTTATACAAATCTTGGAGGGGGAGGCCTGACAACCTTATTAGTTAAACCAACTTCCCTGATTGTAAAACTTCTTGGAATCTTTCAAAGAAAGGATTCAAAACTCATATAAACACCTGTATGCAGTCTTTGTAAATTGTATGATATCAATATTTATGAATTGTTGATGGTTTAAAAAATTGAATAAAACTATAGCCAAAAGGATTCACAGAAGTTAAGCCCAGTCCTCTTACTTTGTATGCCATAGGAAATTGAGACTGAATAGATTGTAACAGCGGAATTGGGCTTTGAGCAAATTCTCCAGGCATTTTGTATGCTAGACCTCACTGTGCCGTGTTTAACATAGGTGTTTGCTATTTCACTTGATGACATCTTTGACTTAGCTAGCATTGTTATATTGTCCAGAAAAACCAAAAATAGTACTTTCTGATTTTTTAACTTATACAACAGATCCTGGTTTATTGGCTTAAAATTGGAACTATTTTTCAGTTCATGTGTGTAGTCATTCTTTGGACATTAATTGGTTCCTGCAATCTGGAATGAAACAGGTCTTTTCCCAAGGAGCTTGTGTTTGAATGGCCAAAGCATAGATCTTTTCTCATGACTACTGAATATGAATCCTATTATTTAGGTTTGACCTTAAGGCTATTTATGAGTTTTTGTCGTTGTTATTGTTGTTCAAAATGCAGGGCTTCATTATGGTAACATTAAAACAATTTTCCTCATGTTATTCCTCTCCCAAAAAAAAAAAAAAAATAAGTAGAGTCTTTAGTAAGACTCTTTATTTCATAATTTTGTAGTATTGATATTTTTTCCTTGTAGGATTGGTGGTGATCCTCAGGAAATGGGGGAAGAGGCAGAGCAAATGTTCAAAAGGATTAGCAGATTGTGGAAAAAGGAGGATTTGGACAGAAGGAACCTGTTGCATAAATTCTTAACTACTAAGCTTATAGGAAAACTTCAATATTTAAAATTTTAAACAAAGCTATATAGGTAAATACCTTTTTAAAAACAAATGTCATTGTATACTAAAATTGCACATAATTAAAAAACATGAAGGGTTACTATACTTCCTCACTTTTTAAATGATGGCTACTAACTTTAAAGGAATTTTTTTTGTTGTTGCAGTCTGTTTTGTGATGATAATGTATGGTCACTTGATTTAAAGGGAAGAATAAAAGTAAATTTGAAAGGAACTTATGATTACATGAAATAGTATCTTTATTTAAATACTTTTCTTTTCAGTGGTAAAAATTTCACCTAGTTTTAATTTTAAAAATCTGATGTCTTGAGCTTAGGGGTGGGCAATATACTCCAAAATAATTGCCACTCTTTCTTTTTTATTTTAGAAATAAAGTAAACTACGTGGTCTTTTATGCTTATGCCCTTTTAGTGTAGTGGTAGTTTCCAGTTTTATCAGTTGAAGATTTTTTTTTTTAATCAAAAGTAGTTTCGAATTTTTAAAAAATGAGCTTTTCTTCTTTATTCTTAAACAATTTAATCATACTCCATGAAAAATCAAGACAAATTTAGTTAATGTATGTGTAACGCTCCATTGAGTCATGTTAGCAATAACCTGTTAGATTTGCTTGTAAGCCATGTTTTTAAGGTAGTTTGTTACTCTGGATAGTAATATGAGACGTTGGACAGACAATTACGCAGTATTACTTGTTTATCTCATTTATGTCTGTTTGTATTTGAGGGTTTTTTTGTGATAGATTTTTGCCTACTGAATTCACTGTTCTTTTACTTTATTTTTAGGGTTTATCTTTGAAAATACTAGATTCAGAACATTATTTTTTTGCATGTAATATCTATTTTTAATTATCCTACCACTATTTAGCTTTAAAGTGTTTTCTGTGGCAAGGTTAAACCAAGAATACACACTTTATAAAATCATTTTCAGTTATTTCTTTTTGCCTCTTGCCTCTGTGATCGCTAATCTTCTTTTTTTATTCTGGGAATCGAACTTGGGACCTTGCACTTGCAAGGCAGGCAGTGGAACCACTGAGCTAAATCCCTGGCTCCTGTGATCTCTGATTTTTGATGGGCTGTACTTCCATATTTCTTAAAGGAATCAAGTTGGTCCCAGAATAGCTGAGTCATATATTAGCTTTAAAAGAGCCATATTTTAGATTAAAAATTTTGACACATCTTCATTAACAGTGACGTGAATCAGTTTTTGAATATGTTATAAAAACGGGAGAGAAGACAATCCAACATAGTTGCATTAATTCTTTTAATGGTGTTGTAAGTCAGTGCCTCTTTATTAAATTTTCGTTCATGATAAGCATGTTCATAGAGAGAAAATTTGTATGATTTTGTAGTATCAAGATCTGACTACCTTTTCAAACAAAGCACATGGTTTGCTTTTAAAAGTCATTTGGTGAGGGCTGGGATTTAGCTCAGTGGTTCTGGCGCCTGCCTTGCAAGCGCAAGGTCCCGAGTTCGATCCCCCGGTACCAAAAAAAAACAAAAACAAAAAAACAAAAAAAAAGTCATTTGGTGAATGGATTAAAAATTTTGGTAAATATATTTTGGCTAATTTAGTTTCTTCAAAAAATTCCTTCTGTATTTACTACAAATATTGTAACTTTTGCAAAATTAGAATTATACAATATTTCATAATTCTTGTATTGTGACCTTCAAACTGGAACAAATATGTCCTTGGGTATAGGAAGGGATAGGTGGGCATTGCTAGTTGAAGATGATTTCCAGATGGACTTTTTAAAAATAAATCTGCCCTTTGGTCTGATGTCCTTCCATTTTCCCAAAGAAAGAAAGATTTCTGTGTCTCAAATTTTATTACAGTGCACTGCTTTAGGTTGTAAAAATCTCTTGGGCACCGACAAAAGAGAACTCTCTGTAATACACATCAGTAGTACTGAGGATGTGAATCATAGCAATAACTGCTAGTAAGTCCTGTTGTATTCCAATTCTTTGGTTTCAGCAAACTTGAAAGAGCATGTTGTCAGTTAATAATAGCATTATTACAATTTTTGAGAATAGATTACTGTGACTTTTGAGATGTAATGAGGAAGAGAGGAACATAAAGAACTGCATGACATTGGTGTAACAAGATTTTTTTTCTATTTCTATCTGCTCTTGTGAACAAAGTTTCTTAGCTCATACATCTGCAAAAATTAAAAATAGGAAGAGAATTAGACCCTATTTCATTCTATCAACAGAAAATATCCACTGATGCATGAGCTAAAAATCAGTTCACAAGGAAAAGAAAAGAAACAGTCTGGTAAACTAGCATGGGTGATTATTAACAAGTCAGTATTTTCCTTTAACTTTTTACTGTGAAGAAATTCAAACATACACAATGAACAGAATAACCAGCCCCCATGTACCCATTTTACCTTCAAGTTTTTTTAACATACTCCTCCACCCCTTTTACACCACTAATAATGAGGTAATGATCATAAGTTTTTGTTTTCAGTTCTGCTTTCTTGGCTAGAGAGGATTTACTCTGTAACTTACTTTGTATGTATACTTGTGGGTTTTTTCCTAAGAGTTGTGCAGAGAAGCTATTTAGTGTAAACTTTTTCAAAATTAAAATAATATCTTAATTGTTAGATTCCATATATTCCCAGGGTACAGGAAATCTTTGTAAGAGACAGAGGTTAATATATTTTATTGACTTAAGTGACATTTCTAGGGTAGATTAGAACAGGCAATGATCTAATGCCTTTACATTTAAATGGGAAGTTTTGGGGATGAAACATTCTTTAATCTACATAATTATTCAATATTTTATTTTGCCCTATTTACATAATCCGCCTAGGGCATTTTGAGCAGTTTACCCAAAGTAGTATATAATGATAAATATTGGTAGATATCAGTTGTTTCTTACAAATATCATAAGAGCAAAATTTAATGGTGTTGTAATTTAGTAAAGCCACAAAATAGACCAAATATGTGACTGCAGTCTAAAATTGAAATGGCTTTTTAAGCATGATATCTCAATAAGAAAAGCATGTATTAGTTTTACAGTGCATAGTTTAGGTCAGAGAATAAAAAAGTTCAATATAACTTGTGTATTTTACGTTGATTAATTATATAACCAGTGCTTATCTATGTGACATTCAGTGCAAATACTGACATCCTTTTCCGAAAGAGTTTTTTTTTTTGTTTTTTTGTGGGGTTTTTTGTGCTTTTTTTCTAAGGTTGAAAAGGTTTTTATGGCTTAAATGTTGTTACATATTTTACAGCATTAGGATCTATGGAATATTTTGACAACTGCAACAGTTCAATGAAGTTGGTAATTTCTTCTTTTAATTATTTTTCATTGAACAGCTTTGGAGTTACATTTCTACATTTTGATTTCTAGTATAAGAAAAGAAAACTTAAAATATGTCAAAGGATGCTTTAGAGAAAATAGAGATTGCCATCTGGCTGGTGCTAAATTATCCTTATTTTTGTTAATACCTCATTTTGATGAAATAGTGTGGCGTTCCATCCAGTTACTATGTTGTCTGTGACTACATTTCTTAAATAAGTTGATTTGTAAAGTTTCACCTGTTATTACCAGTACCTCGATATTCTCATAAGTGGAGAACAAACCTGGCTTTATTATAATCTGGAACAAGTCACCCTCATCCTACCCATCCCTGCATCCATAGTAACATTTCAAAGTGTAATGTTTTGGATTTTTTTTTAGGGTGAATTACTGTTTTTAAAGACTAGTTGTCGAATTATTTTAAGCCTGTTTTAGAAATTAGAGATGTATTGTTTCTATTGGGTGCATATCACCAATTAATACGTTTGATTTCAGATCTACACCTTACTGCTTTGTAAACTTCGCCGAGGTAAAATGAAACCGTTTGGCTACTTGAACTGATCTACATTACATAGGTTTTTTTCCTATTGACATTTGAAATAGATAACATGTCAGAAATAGAAGTGATGAAACAATACATCGTCCACACTCTGTGAATTGGCATAATGCTAAATAAAACTGTACCTAATTTAGCTAATTTCTTAGAAACTATGAAATATAACATTTTTTAGTTGAAGCTTTGTACAAGAAAAGATTTTAAGGGTAGAGCTTTCTCCACACTAAAATATATCCAGAATGTTTGCCTATTCTAGAATTACAAAAGATTAATCAGTTTTGCATTGTAACTGATTTTTCTAACTCGATTAATATCGGTTTATGGGTTTTCTTAAAAAATATAGACTTTTTGAGGATCATGACATATACACATAATTTTTTAAAGGTGAAACTTTATTTTAAGTTTTTGAAAATATGAAACTAAATACCATCTGTATTAGCAGATTATGTGCTGACATGAATGACTAGAGGATTTCTGAGTTACTTGTATTTAAAATTATGTAACTTTGGGTTGAGTAAAATTATACTTAAAATAAAGCATTCCCTTTGTAATTTTGATTTTCTTCCTCAATATATGGATGTTAAAGAACATGTAAAAAAGTTTAAATATTAAATTACTCTAGAAGTATTTCGTAGATTTAAAAGTACTAATGCAGTATATTATAATAGTAGCAGTTTGAGATTTTGTTATATAAGCTTAAAACTTAACCATAGTGATGTCTATATTAACATATTTATGTCTCTAATTTCTTTGCAGCAGGGAGTAAATAATGCTGAAAAATTTGACTATGTAAGTGCAACATAGAATTCTGTTTTTATACTATATTATTTATATATTTGTTTTTTATTTACTAATACTTCCTAATTTGGGTTCATAGGTGATGCAGTTTTTGAATAAGATGGCTGGTAATGAATATGTTGGATTCAGTAATGCCACGTGAGTCTAATTTGTTATGTGCCAGGCACTGTACTAGGCCCTGGGCACTTTTTTTTTTTGGTACTGGGGATCGAACTCCAGTCCTTGCGCTTGCGCAGCAGGCAGCGAAACCACTGAGCTAAATCCCCAGCCCCGTGAGTCTAATTTGTAACTTAGGCTTTTTCAGTTGGTCAAAACTCTTAACAAAAGCTCTAGATCATACAATTTTATTTTCACTATTGATTTGTTACTTCTCATGTGTACACATGTATGTACTGTTTTTAGAATTAATATGCTCTCCCTTGTTGTCTGAGACTTACTTCACTGAAAAAAACAATTACTTAAAATTTGGTCATTATAGAAAAACGATTTCTGAGAAATGATTTCTAAGTTACCCAACAGGAACATTTAAAAATATGTTAGGTAGTTTTAATAAATTTCTTATATCTACTCATAATCAGAAGGAACTCAAAGTTCACCTCAGATTACTGGCGCTCATTCAGTTTTCTTGCCTGTAGGATACTTCTCTTAGTTCTGTCCCTGGCTCATTTGATTTTTGCCCATTCTTTATCTTTAAATTTGCCATCTACAGAAAATTGAAAGAATAAACAATATCTGATCTCTTCCACTTAAATATTTTCTGATTAATATTTTGTCTCATTTGTTTTTTCTCAGTCTTTTTAGATATTAAAAATGTGTATTTTTCCATACACATGTATGTAAACCTATGTGCCTGTAGATATTTTTTGTTTGCTGAGTCATTTGAAATCATTTGTGGATAGTGCGACACTTCCCTTGAATCACCCAGCACGCATATCCTAAGAATGAGGACATCATCCTACATAAGCACAATAAGAATCACCTAAGAATGTCACACCTAAGAATGTTGATTTTAAAATATGGTAGTAATCAATATGTAAATGTTCCCTTTTATCCCCTTAGTGGCTTTTACAGGTTTTGTTTGTTTTTAATTCATGAAGTAATGAAGATTTATGCTTTATATTTGTTATTTTGTAATAAAATAGTCCTCCTTAGATACTTTAAAAAAATTTTATTTAAAGGGTTTTTGTTTTTAAGAGTGCAAGCCCTTTGTTTTATAGAGCAAGGATTGACTTAGCTTTTCTTTGAAGGGCCAGATGGTGAATATTTCAGGCTTGTGGGCCGCCTGGTCTCTGTTGGAACTGATTAGCTCTGCTCATCATCCTGAGTGTCCTTTCCAGAAAGTTTTCAGGAATCTTATCTCACCTTTTCTGTGCTTTCCATAAAATAAGTTTTGTATTTTATTGAGCTTATTCTGTCTCCTTGTCCCATCACCATCAGTTGCTTAAGAACTGGGTGGTGTTGAGTGTCCCACTCCCTTCCTATTATCTGGCACATAATAGATGGCCCACCAGACTGTATTGGATGAACTGAACTATGTGACCATGGCACTGATAATTGTGAGGCGTTAATCCTTTTATCTGTACTGTGTTAATATTTTTTAAAAAGCATGACAAGTTGACCTGACTCCACATCCCATATTGCTCTGACCATAAAAGTGTTAAAATACAGTTAGAATGGGCTGTGCACCTCATCAATGCAGAGCGACACCTCCCAGTCCTCGTGTGCGCAGACTCCTGTCTCCTGAATTCTGTCCACATCAGAGTCCTCCTTCTCCTGAACTGCTCTGTACTCCAAGGATCCCCGTGTCAGTTCTGTCATCCTCTCAGCAAGCCACACTTGAAGTTCTGTCTTCTTTACTTTCATAACTTTGTTCTTGCTGCATGGAACCTGCCTAGGTTCCCCTGAAATCCCTTCATCCAGTGAGTCCTCATGATCCATGTTGTGGGTCCCTCTCTCACTGAAGTTTCCATGGAGTTCCTGAGTTGGAATTAGCTGTTTAGTGTACTTCTGGGGAAGCCACAGGATTCTGTAAATTTTCAATGTATTTGAATGGTGAAATATTTGAGAATTTTAAAATTAGCTACTTTGTTCATAAAATGTGAGGTTAAAAAGGACCTGAATTCCTTTTACTCCTTTTACAGCTGAGAAAATTAATATTGGGAAAATTACCACTTAAATGACTTACCCAGGGGCACATAAATAGTCTGGTGACAGAATGGAGACTAGCGCTTATCACTCAGCATCAGTGTTCTTTATATTGCACTTTGCTATGCAAGTTAAACAACATCATCCTTCTACAGAGAGTAAATAGCAAATTTTTTTCTTCTAGGTTTCAGTCTGAAAGAGAAAGTGGAGATCGAAATTTTGCAATAGGATACTACTTGAAAGAAAAGAAGGTCTTTAAATTTTTGTTTCTATGTCGGACTATCCCGTGTTTAATAAAATATGATGGCATATACCGTGATACGTCGGATGTCAAACGGCTCCAAGCTTAAACGTTCCACCTCTCAAACAGTGAAGTTCGAAAAAAAAATCTCTGCATCATAACTTTGCTCGATGGTCGACTGAAAATCCGACTTGGGAAAACCTGCTTGGGTGGACAGTGAGTCAGGTGCGGCGTCCTGCCAGCAGCGCAGAGGGCCGGCCGACCTTTGAGTGAGCACCTCTCTCGCCCAGGCAACATACAGTGTTGTGTGATTTGGGCTTCACAACCAATGATTTGACTTTCTGTTGTTTCTTACAGAAAAAACATGTTCAGTTCTCAAACTTTTCAGTGTTTGAACATGAATTTGGAGCAGATTGAGTTTGACAACTGAGGTATCGCTAAGAACTCAACAGTGGCCTTTAAGTAACTAGTTGATACTATTTAAAATGCTGAAGTTTTTGCAAAGCTCTCTTGAGTCAGTGTTACCAGATTGTTAATGTTACAGTTAAATTGCTTTGCATTTAGTATCCAAATATTTGACTAGTTACATTAATGCAAATATGCTTCAGGTTTAGTGCTTTTTAAAAGAAATATAATGCCTGATTGTTATCGATTGCCCTTAATTTTTAAAATTTAAAGTGACTGATCCAATAATTTGATTTATGAATTATGAATCAGTGTATCATTTTCACTTAAATTAGTATGTGGAAATTCATATAATGTGATGTAATTTTACTTTATTTCGTATTTGTACTTTTTCATATATCACACTGTTGTAAATTAAAATGAAGCACTGTGTATGTTTTAATCTTAACATATTCATTTATTTGTGTACTTTTTTCCTGTGTGCCTATATTTTTTTAAATTGCTTTTGTATTTTTTCAGTGTTTTCCAGAAGGCACAGACATGGTGGGAATACTAGACTTCTATTTCCAGGTAATTTACTTTAATTGTATGAACTGTGTATATAACTAGGTGTGTCACATTTTGCAGAATGTAGATGTCTCTGAAATTTTGACTCTAGGTCACGAGAAAAACACATTTTCCATTGACTTAAAAAAATATCCTTTGAAATGCAGTTTTACGTCTCTGTCTCCTAAAAATTGATGCCTCAGAATAGAGTAGGAAAAAAATTTCTGACAATATAGGAAGTGATGTACAGTACCAGAAACACTCTTCTCCCAATCATAAACTGAACTGTTTTATATTTTGTGTGGAGGAAGCTCTTTATCAGTGTTTATATTCAGCCTTTGAAGTGTCGGTTTCTCAGCTCACTTGCTATCTTGTGTAATGTTTGTTACTGCTCTATCCTGGCTTAATGGTGCTAGGAAATAATTGCCTAGATCACACGGTGTGTTTTCTTCAGAGTCAGAGTAGTTCTTAGTATTAACCGTGAGCGG